GACTTTTTTGCGATTCTTTTTCAGTAATTTAAAAGAATTTTTTTACTGGTCAACTGACGTTTCACGTTTGCCGTGAACGTAAATCTAAAACTCTCTATTATCCCAAATGCGATTCTAGATATCAAAGAGAACCCTTGTTTTAATATTTACATTACTATACTTTGATATTTCCGCGGGCAACAATCGTGAAAATTACGAAACGATTGACTGACTATGACTGGTGAAAATTTGCGAATGGAAGCGATATTACAAACTCGTTTAATAGGAGGCAACCAGAGCAGATGTCGCGCTTGACAGGGCAATGTTTTCGTATTATGTGTCAAAGTTCTGCCTTGTAGCCATACATATATTAAAGTGGTGTCTTAATCTGAGACTAAAATCAACACCGGTTAGGATTTGGTGGATATATTGACCGAGACGTCAGTATTACTCTATCAGTTCCGTTCCGGTAAGATTTAATTGTTAAATTTATAAAATCTCGCTAACCCTTGAATTTCAACAGCCAACGGAAAACAAACATGCATAGACATCATTTTGCGACACGTGATATACGGCTACAGCTCCGCCCCTAGTCAGTCATTTTCTTAACATAATTGACAATTGTSAGATAATATACGTGATCCCTGTTTCATTTGCCCGCAACTGCCTCCTGATTAATGACGCAAAGACCACACGGAAAAACATGACCCATTTTAGATTTGACTGCAACTGGCAACCCAGTAATTATGATTAATTAGTTTTTAMAAGTTAACGGTAGCTCAGTGATATTAGCCATGAAAAACTCGGTAGGTTCTGGCGTTAAATTACAGTACGTGCATTATTGCACAGTTAGATGAAATAGAAGCCATCATGGAAATTATTTCCTAAAACACTCTACAATACATTGCAATTACGAATCGATCCAGTTTTTCTCCTCAACCTCGAATTAATTATTGCTAATTGATATTAGGTTTGTTCCAGGGATGATATGTATGTGAATTCATCAGCCCCGCTCTCTTCCCTGCTTAATTAATTCAGTTGCCTCGGCTTTCAAATACCTGACATCTAAAGTACAGTTAAGCCAAATTAATCATACAGCGCGGGTACATAACAGAAAACCGACTTAAGTATGAACTAATTTAATGCCAGTTCTTAGACCATTCGGGCTGCGGTTCTAATTGATAATGATAGCTAGTGACATCCAAACAGTCGAGGCTAGGTTTTTAACAAAATTATGAAGATAAACCAGGTAATAAAACTTTATTGTTTTCGAGAAAATTACTTTACCTTAATTTATTTTCTTTTAAAATATACGTATTATTATTAAGTTAAGGCTGGTTATTTCATTAATTTTCTGCTTTACTAGTAAACATGTCAGAATGACAGCCAATACAGTCATCTTATTCAGATTGCTTTTCAATTAAGATTTTGCGGAATTTAGTTTCTTACTATTTTGGCAAATTTTATTTCATTTCCTCGGAGAGAAAATGAAATYCATTTCATCTTTATTCATTATCACCATTGACGTCGACCACTTCARGCTCTTTATTTTCAACCCTTCCTCTTAATAAGATCGACAGTTTTAATTTACTTTATCATGTGTTAAGATGGGCAAAATATATAAATAAATAAATATATATATATATGATTTTAAATTGATAAGTTCCTGCGTTGCCATGAACATATCAAGCAAGTCTGTAAGTCCTCATTCTATTTCATCTGGAACATTGCTAGAATTAGAAAGTTTCTTACTGATTCTACTACAGAGAGTGTGGTTCATGCACCTCCAAGTTGGTTGGACTATTGTAACTCACTCTACTATGGTGCCCCGAAATATCTTTTGAAAAGGCTTCAGTATATTCAGAACTGTGCAGCTAGATTAGAGTGCAAGCGAGTAAATTTGATCATGTCACTCCAGTTTTGATAAAATTGCACTGGCTTCCTGTCCGTTTCSGAATTATATTCAAGATATTGCTTATTATGTACAAGTGCTTGCATGATATGGCTCCCCCATACCTGGCTGATGCTATAAAATTGAGAAAAACTTTGCACGCTCTCAGATCTACAGCCATGGATTATCTAGAAGAACAAAATAAATTATTAAAAATAAAAAAAAAAAATCTAGAAGAACAAAGATCTCGTCTGGGTGACCTGTGGTGACAGATCTTTCTACGTTGCTGGACCCAAACTGTCGCATGACCTCCCACTTCAAATTAGGAAAAGTTCTTCAATCCAGTCACTCAAGAATGAACTGAAAACTCATTTGTTCAAGAACTTTGTCTCCTCTGGTTCAAAGTAAAAATCAATGAAATGTGACATTTCATTAATATTGTTTTCAACATGCGTCTAATATTTATTATTTCTTTTATTGTGTAGCGCCATGAATTTTGATATGTGCGCTATATAAGTTCCATTATTATTATTATTATTATTATTATTATTATTATTATTATTATTATTATAGGCTCTTTACAGTTAACGGTCACGTGTCTGTATTGCATGGTGAGCAAAACTTCTATATTTATTTTAAATTAATGTGATTCTTTTTAGCTACTTGTAAAGAACTGAATGAAAGGATAAAAGTGAAATGAAAGTGCAACCAGTGTGTCACGAACGAAAAGTGGTTTTATTACGATCCATCTCTCGAAACCGGTTGTAGAAAGTGTGTTTGCTCGACAGTTCACCCATGGAATAGAAATGTTCATTCATATGCTATAAGTGAAATTAATCAGTACGTGATTACTGAGCTGCAAARGGTGAATTGATTATCTGATGCACATATTTCGTTAGTAAGGAAATTCCAGGTTTCGTACTTTCTTCCTCTGTTGCCCGTCTTTATACGGTCACGCCATTTTACTTCAGACGACCTTCTTTAAATATTTTCGTCRTTCAAAATGCTCTAAATCAAATAGTGCGTCTGTTCGTCTTTTAAGTTTGATTTGAGTGCCACCGCGGAGAGC